TTTTAGCTGGGCATGGTGGCACATGCCTCTAGTCCCAGCACTTGGGAGGCAGAGGAAGGCGGATCTCTTTGAGTTCAAGGCCAGCCTGGTCTACATAATGAGTTCCAGGACAACTGGGGCTACAGGGAGACCCTGTTTCAAAAAGACAGAAGAAAAAAAAAAAAGCATTTTTAAAAGCTGGATGTGGTGGTACATGCCTTTAATGCCAGCACACTCAGGAGGCAGAGGCAGGTAGATATCTGTGAGATTGAGGCCAGCCTGATCTACATAGTGAGTTCTAGGTACTGTAGCTCAGGCTACAGGGAGAACCTGTGTTAAAAAATTAAATCTTTAAAATTGAAGTGAATCAGGAAACATTCTAACAGAAAAGATCACAAAAATATTTGGGTACATGAGAGGAATGTTTGAGCCAATGACTGACTAACATGATTGTCAAGTTCATAGCTTAGATATATGAAAAACAAAGTATTAAATCATTTTATCAATATAACTTATTAATTTCCTCTTGCTTATACAAAGGTAAACACTACGAAAAGATATAAAAACTTTATCACTGAACTATGTCAATTTACCTTGTCAGTCACTCTAAGTGACTCATTGTAATTCAACAAATATTTATTAAAGGCTCATTGTATCCAAAGTCTGTATTCTTCCATTTATTCTTCCATCATTTTGTTTATTCATTCAAAATCATTTTCTTCTTTTAAGGTATTATAGCCAACTCTAGCAACTCAGGAGTCATTGAGACATGGCTTTTACTACAAGAAATGTATAAGGATTAATAACACACTTCCAATTTTCAAACAAAAGTAATGAAGCCATTGAAAGGTAGATTCTGCTTCTGGTAATGGGTTTCTTCTTTTTGATTCCTTTCCTTTTCTTTCTTTTTCATTTTTTTTTTTGTGTTTATGTGTACATGTGTAGATTAGAGGACAATTTCAAATGCTGCTCCTCAGAAGCTACCCACCTGTCTTTTGCCCTCATGCTGTTTCTTTTTTATTTTTTATGTATTCTTTTTAAATTTTTTAATTTATTAACCACATGATTAGAAGAAGCATTTCATTACAGCTTTAACATATTCAGTAACACATTCCAGAGCAAGGATACATCA